GAGGGCAAAATTGCACCATAAATTACTTTAGGCCACTGGGTGCACCTGAAAAAATACTTGGGGGTGCTGGATGCACCTTAACCCCAAAAAAATTTCACATCACCTGCTTATTAGACATGCCACGTCAGATTTTATGGTCAAACTTGTGCTGACTCATCAATTTAACGGTCAAACTAACAGATCTGTTAGCATGGGATATCGGTGCACCATTTTAATTACTTTGAGGGCAAAATTGTACCATAAATTACTTTAGGCCACTGGGTGTACCTGACAAAATACTTGGGGTTGTTGGGTGCACCTTAACCCTATATTTCCATGTGACTTACAAATTAAAGTTACTATTCAATCATCTTCAATTGCCCCTGGAAACTCAGCATTCAGAGTCATACTACTGTACTTTTGAATGACCGTCTGTACGTAGTTAGATGTTTATATCTCTTTCTGATAGTTAGGTCCCCCCCCCCCCTCTTGCTATGTAATGTGCACTAGAGTTTATCAAACAAAGCATGCAAACATTCAATAAGCCTCCAAAAAGGATCATAATTATTTGGGATGTTACCCACATACTAGATTAATGGGTTTTACAAAATGATTAGATCCAATGTTGAAAAAAAAGCAAACAAACCAAAACAAAAGAATCCAACATGTTGATATTTGAAAGGCAACATAAATTTTCTACTTCATCATTTTTTGTTAGTTTTCTCTATTCTTTGATTTTTTGAATGTCCGAATCAACACATAAACTATTTCTTTTGCAGATCTAAATGATTCGATCCGATTTTGATACTTGCTCAAGACTAAGAAACGAAAGAATATTGAATCCACCATGTTCATATTTAAAGTGCAACGTAAATTCTCTATTCTTTCATCATTTTCTTAGTTTTCATTATTCTTTGATTTTTAGGTTGTCCAAATCAATCTTAGAAGAATCAATTTTCTTTTTCCGCCGCCTTTTTCCGATGTTTCACACGTACTAGTTTAATGGGTTTTCATTTGTAAAACTAAATGATTAAACCCATTTTGATAACATGCTCAAAATAAAAAATTATTGAATCTTACATGTTAATATTTAATTTGAAGAGCAATAAAAATTCTCTGCTCTTTCTTCATATCTTTTTTTAAGTTCTCTCTATTTTCTCCAAATCAATTTTAGAAGAATTAAATTTCCTTTTTTATTTTTTCTATTTTTGACATTCTTATATTTTGATAATAAGAATATTTTTTCAATTACGCACTACACAGACAACACCTTAAAAAAAAAGCAGAAGGAAAAAAAAAAAAAAAAAACAGATGCTCACGCAAAGAATGACAAAACGAGTTTTAATGGGCTTGGATCACGTAGCAGGGTTCAATGACTTTTTGGTTCTTGAATTAGAATGTGGGTCAATTATCCTCAGACACTCTTTTTATTCAATCCAAGCTCATCTAATGATCTGAAGAATAATTCATAATTACTCATTTAATCCTAATTCTTATCAAAGAAATTTGGGAAACATAACCCCTCTTCCATTCTTATTTATAAGACATTTGAAGAAAAGAGTTTTTTCATTATAAAAATCGTTCCTTAAAATTGAGTCACTTTTGATTAAAATCCCTACTGCTAGCAAATACATTAAACAGGGATTTTCTTAAACACGTAGGATCTGGGTTTTCAACACTACAGAGAGCCGAATCAGATATAAACATTTTGAATCTTTCTTATACTATGAGAAAAATGTTAAGAATGGGCCTACAACTTTTAAGTCAGATTATAGGAATCGAACTAATGGGCTGGAAGTGGATTAGGTCTAATAAAAAAGGTTAGTCCCTCACAACGTAACAAACCAAAATTCGAACCGCCGTTGGAAGAGATAGTCACATTTAGTGTCCAATAATATCTCGAATAGGATTGCCTCCAATGGAAGGAAACCTATGCTTTAAGGGGGAAAAAAAGAAAAGAAAAGAATTAATGGGTTGGATGGATTGAGGAGATGGGGAGTAGGTGAAGAAGAAAACAGGAATAAATAGAAATATGAAGAGGATTATATATCAGATTAAATATATTAGTGTGATCATTATGGAAAAGGGAACAAAAATTGAAAAATAGTACTACCTTCGGTCCTAATTATAAGAGCCAGTTGACTAATTTGAAAAAATTAAGGAAGTAAGTTGAGTTAGTTATTTGTTCTAAATAGGTATTGTCTTTCCTAAAATATCCTTACTAATCAAGTGTATTGACTAGAACTCTTATTATTAGAAGGGCTACTTTGGAAAAAAATATATAAATATGAGAAATAAAGTGGATGGGAGTCTTATATTTAGAACCAAATAAAAGTCAAACAGGATCTTATATTAAAGACCGAAGGTAATACTTCCTTTCATCTTAAATACTACCTCCTATTCTTAGTATAAGAGTTAGTTTGACTTTTAATTTGATCTTAAATATAAAACCCAAGTTCACTTTTTCTCTTTCATATTTATCCATTTTTTCAAAGTAGACCTTGTATTAGTTACACATGTTAAATGTTCTATCAAATAGTAATTCTAACTAATATACATAATTAGTAAGGGTATTTTAGAAAAGACAATACATATTTATTACAAATAACAAACTCAATAAATTTTCTTAATTTATTCAATTAATCAACTAACTTTTATATTAAAAACCGAATGTAGTATAAGAATTAGTACAGGGATAGTTGTTTTAAACTTTTTTTTAAAAAAAATTTGAACAAGGATTTTTCCTTTTGAGACTTAAGGTGCAAAGGGTTATTGTCTCTCCCAACAAGTATGCTTTTCGGGATTTAAACTTGTGTTTTTTTTTTTTTACAAGATGAGCGGTCTCAATCAGTAGTTTGCTGGTATAATTGTTTTAACGTTAACTCTAAATATAAAACCTCTATCTATTTTGTCTTTTAAATTTACAATTTTTTTAAACCATCCATATTATTATTGCATATATTAAAGGATGATTTCCATCTATGGAGTAGCTCTCGATACAAATTATTCAAGAAATAGTTTAATAAAGTCAACACAATTTTTTTTATAAATAATTAATTTAATTATTTTAAGTAATATATGTAAATAAATTATTTCATTCTTACATTAGGATTGACATGGATGGATTATATAAGGAAGGAGTTGGAAAATTTTTTGGAGGGTTTTTATAAAAGTTAAGTTGCAAATTTATCTCAAAAGGTTTTACTTAAGAAAGTCTTTTTCAATTTAATTTTAATGTCATCTAAGAGTTTCCAAATTGTAGTAACTTCATCCCGATCGTTATTCAAGTTTAATTATTTATGTTGAGTTGAAAGGTTTATGTGTCATCCATATCATTTTGTTATTGTGCAAATTTGTTCAAAAACTTTTCAATCAAGAGTGTTGAGTATCTGCAAATTTTTTTTTTGGGTGAAAAAATCTATAAATTTTTTAGGTTTAGTATCGCTTCAGAAATTTTCAAATTATAATAATGTCACTTTGATTATTATTTGGGTTAAATTTGACTATTAGGTGAACAAATATACTAAATAAGTAGAGTGAACAATGAAGAAGAAGAAATAGCAGATGGAGAAGGAGCCGCATTGCAGAAGAACATCCGATTACTAGACGCGCGACTCACCAAGGGAGATTGCCTTTGGCCCAAAAAAAAAGCCCAAGGGAGATTGCCGACAACAAGGTTGCAGGTAACCCTCCGCGGTCGTACTTTAGTGATGCTGAGATTGGTGAATTTCACGCAAAATGCTTCAGCTCTTTGATTTTCTATAATCTTTCAGGGGGGACGCATTTTTTAAAAAGGTTTTTTTCCTTATGTATAAATCTGACTTGGAAAAAAATGAAGTCGATGTTTAGAAAAAGATGAAGTAGATGATATATCAACCTACCACTCCATCATATTTGGTTACTTAATAGTCAAACTGAACTTGAATAATAGTCGGGAGACATTACTATGATTTTTGAAACTTCTGAAAAGACATCGAACCAAAATTTTTTAAAATAATTAGCTCTCTTTAGTAAAAATTTTTGAAAACAAATTTATATCTTAAGCCAAAAAAAAAATAACGTGGACAACACGTATGCCTATCGGATGAGCATATTTAATCAACTAGCGACTAAATTTAATCTAGATAACAGGCATAATAAAATTGTTACGATTTAAAAACTTTTAGGGTGACATTTAACATAAGAAAACTTTCACATGATTGGTGTTTTGGAGTGAAAACCTTCTAAACAAATTTATATATTAACCATTTCTTTATATCTCACGTAAAAGAAGCTAATTTATGTGCTAATTTTTTGGCTAGCGGTGTAAAGAATTGGGTAGGTACCAACCGCCATCTTATGCGTCAGGATGAGGGATGAAAAGAAAGCACGTTGTCTTCATGGGATCATATTTTTATGATATTTTTAATTAACGGATACATATTTTCATTAAAGAAAAATTCAAAGGACTCCTTGATGTAATGCTACCAAAATTTGTGTCATAAAATATTTTAAAAAAATCATTAAGACAAGATGTTATTATCCATTTAGAATAATATTAGATAAAATTATATTTTTTTAATCTATTTATGAGATTTAAATTAAATCCAAACGACTTAGGGTGTGTTTGAAATCACATATGGACCTTCAAACTGACTTCCCTGCCGGCAAAAGGAGCTTTTTTGATTTGGGATGTGCCTGGAATCACATTTTTGCAATCTGACATCTGTCACTAAAACGGACTTATACAATAAATTTAAAGAAGTTGCTTTTATTCAATCTCACTTCTGTAAAAGTCATATTGAAAAAAAAGTTACTTTTCCACCGCTAATCCAAACACACCCTTAATCATATTCCTAGTATTTTATTTATATATTTATTTATTTTTTATTTATTAATTTTTTTTTTTTACCTTAGAAATATTTTTTCAGACAAGAAACGGATTAGTTAAAAAGTAAACTACAATCAAAATAATTGAAGCGAGAATCAAAAGAATTATTACATTCCTATTCAATCCTACCCTCCTTCCCGAATCAGCAGCCAACACAGACTCATCGAATGGACCAAACCAAAGCCTCGAGGCTTGACGAGTGAGTGAGGGCACCGAAGCAGAATTCCGATCGATCATATAAAGGTCCCGATCGTATCTCTTCCTTCGCCTCTCTTTGCTCTCTTCTTGGCTCTCGATCACTGTCTGAGTAGCCATGGCCCTACAATTATGGGAGACTCTCAAGGAAGCCATCGTCGCCTACACCGGTCTGTCCCCGGCTACCTTCTTCACCGTCCTCGCGCTGGTTTTCGCTGTCTACTATCTTGTTTCTGGTTTCTTTGGGGGTTCCGATCATCATCCCAGGAATTTTAGGGAACTGGAAGAGCAGATGCAACCTCTGCCTCCGCCGGTTCAGCTCGGCGAGATTACCGAGGAGGAGCTCAAAGTCTATGATGGCTCCGATCCGAGTAAGCCTCTGCTCATGGCTATCAAGGGTCAGATCTATGATGTGTCTCAGAGCAGGTATGATGATTGTGTTCTGTTGAAGTTTAATTCTTGGTTGTTGATGTTAAGATTATGGTTCATTTCTGGAACTTTTTGTGGTTTTTGGGTTTCTGTGATTCCTTTTGCGAGGTCAATGTTTGCTCTGAATTAGGGCCATTATCTATTTTCGCTGATTATGACTATGAACTCAGAAATTCTTGGGCTTCTTTTTCTGAACTTTATACTTTTCTCTCTTTTACCCCTTTCTCATCCTGCGATGCATATGCTTTTTTGACTCTTGGTCCCCTTTATTGTTTGATAGGGTTTCATGTTGTTTTGCAGTTACGCTTTTGGTTGTTCTGTTGCTCCTTGTTTCGATTCCTAATTCTTCTCTTATAAAGACGATAAGATTCTCAAATTGTGAAGTTTAATTTTATTGACAAGCTTTCATGTATGTTTGATCGGGTTAGAAATTGGGAGGTCAAAAAAAAAAGAAAAAGGAAGGAGTGTATATAATAAATGTATTTGGACTTGACCTGTGTTAAGTTCATTGTATACTTTCGCTCCCTTAATTCTATACTTTAAAGCATACCCTTCAGCCATAAAAAAGGGGGATTTCTCCTTATTGTGCATCATTACTCAATTGGAAAGGTTCCATATAAGAGATATCAGTAGAGTTCCCTCATGAAAGAGCCATGTTTTGCTGAAATCGGATGCTACATTTGTGATGACCTTTGTACTTTGATGTGACATATAATCGTCCTTTTTAACTAAATTATGTCTGCAAATTTTTTTTTTTTTTTTTTTAAAATTTTAGTGGTCCTATTATCTTACCTGGAAATCATGTTATGAGGTAATTTTCTCACTTATTCCTGCTTAGATGGTTGAATGATGAAATTGCAGGCTTGGGGTTATCGACCCCCAGCTAGTTGTCCTATCAGCTTGAGCGATGAATGTGTAAAAATTTAAAGTTTGGATCATTTGAGTCTTGTAACTAAATAGGCATGAATAACTGGTTAAGGTAACAAGTGCATCTCAGACTGATGTTGTCTAACTATGCTGTGCTGATCATAGTTTTCAATTTTATAGTATGAACCAATGTTTAACTTTGGGAGTATGGGAATCTTCACTGTAATCTGACTTCCCATGGGTATTTATGAGCATGTGTCAGAATCATGGTGTAAGTTGTCCTTTATTAGAAGGATAACTTTATTATTCTTACAGTGGTGTCTATATGGTCTGCCTTATTGGTGAGACTCAGGTCCATGTGAAGGATGATTCTCCTTTAAGGAAAGGAAATTTCCTCTCTGACCCAAAACGGTGACCGGTTTTCCTGAGTGAAGGCAGATAACTTTCCCAAAATTTCGCTTGCTGGCCAACATACTATGATCCATGTCATCATACATATTCCTTTTGTCTCTGACGGCAAAGTGTGTGTATGTGTGTAATATAATAAAGCTATTAAAATATAAACTGCTGGACGGCATGACATATTAGAGAAAACAAATGAGTCATTTAAGCAGAAAAATGTGAACAAAAGCTCTACAAGGATAATTAACGTGGACGTGCTATCCAATCACTGTATGTGTCGGAAATATTTGCCTTTAAAAGATTCCTGTGCCAAGCATTAAAGGGACAAAGGGTAGCTGTGTGCAGCATGCAATGAAGGATGTTGCTCGCTGGTTGTTTATGAAAAACCTAATTATTTTGCCCTGATTTAAGCTAAATTCATTAGTTCAATCTCATCAACTTTTCTTCTGATCTGACTTGTTTTTTTTCTTTTGGTTGGACCTGGATGATCTCTGATAGGACTCCAAGTCAGCACATTAACGCACCAGAGGAGAAATAGGGAGAATGGAGTAGTGGTTGAGTCTGTTTGCATCTTTTTAGGAGAGTTGAATGAGTCTTTTAGGTTTTATTGATTTTATTAATGATTTATTAATTGAATAAGGGGACTTTAGGTTGTTAGAGGTCCATCAACGTCTCTTTCTGTTAGTTCCAAGATATTAGGGATATTTACTTAATTCTTATATTTATTCAATTGTAATTTCTGCATTATAAATATGTTAGCCATCCTATAAGCTAACATATGAGAGAAATAAATATTTGTTCAGTAATTTGGAGATTCTCCTTCTGGCTACTAAATCTAGTTAAGTGAGATCCTTGCTTAAGTAAATTTTAGTAGATTTTATCCCGGCTATTAGTGAGTTGAGAGTGAGATTCTTGCCTCAACCCTCTACTAGATTATATTTCAGTTTTTTTTTTTATTCACTTAATTATCTAGCCATTTGGGTTCTACCAAATTGGCATCAGAGCCATGGTTGAGACTAGATCATCCCGCATTCCCAACCCACCTGAAAATCCTGAAAATCCTTTAGTAGGAGATAGTGATCCTTTGACCACAATTGCTGCGCGACTGGAAAATATTGAAGCATTAGCTAATAGAGTAGCCAATTTGGAGGCTGCATCTGAAAGAAGTCGAAGAGGAAACCAACGTTCTCATTGGGAAGCTGACAGTGAGGACGACCCTGAAGCATCTTATAGGCGCCGAATGCCTTACACAAAAATTGAATTCCCCAAGTTTAGCGGTGGGGATCCGCGAGGCTGGATATTGAAGGCGGAGAAATATTTTAGGTACTATGACATCCCAGAAGATTTGAAAGTGGATGTGGCATCAATGTACTTGGAGGGAGACGCGCTTGATCTATTCTCTTAGATTAACAATGAACGCACGGTAGTGTATTGGGATGAACTTGTGAAGGCTCTTCAAGAAAACTATGGACCACCGGAATACCAAAACCCAGATGAGTACCTTTGTAGCATTCGACAAACAGGGACGGTGTCGGAGTATCGTTCTGAATTTGCTCGCAGGTCCTCACGCGTCAAGAATTGGCCAGAGCATTGCTTGTTAGGTGTCTTTATCAATGGGCTCAAGGAAGAGTTGAAGGCGGATGTACGTATCCATAAGCCTAGAACTGTCTATCGAGCAACCAGTTTAGCATTAGAATATGAAACTAAGCTCCAAAAGGCTAATGGGCCTAAGACCAACATAGCCTCAGGAGTAACTCGCACTTTTTTCCCTATACCCAGCCAGCACAAGACACAAGCATCGCACAACCATCTTCATCTGCAATTCCAAAGCTCCTTCCACCGCCAACCCCAAACACATATTTGTCTCAGCACCCATCAGCAAAATCACCCAGTTCCTCTACCTTGGAGTCTGAACGCCAGCGTCGCAAGGAGAAAGGGCTTTGCTATCGCTGTGGTGAAGTTTTCAAACCAGGGCACCGCTGCAACTCCTCTTTTTCTCTCCTAGAACTCATTGAAGAAGGAGAAGAAATTATCCTACCCTCAAAAGAAGATGTCAACAATATGGGAGATGGAGGGGAAGTTGAGGTTATGTTTAACGCCATGGTAGGGAAGGCAAATGCTGGAACCATGAAGCTCAAAGGTTTTATAATGGGCCGAGAGATTCTGATTTTAGTAGATAGTGGGTCTACTCACAATTTTATATCAGAAGCATTAGTTTCTGATTTGTGTCTTCCTACTAGTGTGACGTCTTCATTTGGAGTTCAAACAGGAGATGGTAGAGTGGTAAAATGCAACCGTATTTGCACAGATTTAGAGGTAAAAATTTCTGATTTAGTTATTAAACAAGATTATTTCCCCTTCACTTTAAGTGGAATTGATCTTGTTCTGGGCATTAAATGGCTGGCTTCATTGAATACCACCCAAACCAATTGGAACGAGATGTTCATGATTTTCTGGATAAATGGCAAAAAGTACAAGCTTCAGGGAGTTATTCCAGGGACCCATACTGCTGCCCAATTTCAAAATCTGCTCTTATTAGAAATGCAAATGAATGGGAACCATCGGTCAAAGGCAAATCCAATGGATAAGGGAACAGTTCAAGTGGCTGCGCAAGTTCATCAATTACGACTTGAGGGCAAGTCGTGTCTTCAGGGAGGGAGTATTGATAGGACTCCAAGTCAGCACATTAACACACCAGAGGAGAAATAGGGAGAATGGAGTAGTGGTTGAGTCTGTTTGCATCTTTTTAGGAGAGTTGAATGAGTCTTTTAGGTTTTATTGATTTTATTAATGATTTATTAATTGAATAAGGGGACTTTAGGTTGTTAGAGGTCCATCAACGTCTCTTTCTGTTAGTTCCAAGATATTAGGGATATTTACTTAATTCTTATATTTATTCAATTGTAATTTCTGCATTATAAATATGTTAGCCATCCTATAAGCTAACATATGAGAGAAATAAATATTTGTTCAGTAATTTGGAGATTCTCCTTCTGGCTACTAAATCTAGTTAAGTGAGATCCTTGCTTAAGTAAATTTTAGTAGATTTTATCCCGGCTATTAGTGAGTTGAGAGTGAGATTCTTGCCTCAACCCTCTACTAGATTATATTTCAGTTTTTTTTTATTCACTTAATTATCTAGCCATTTGGGTTCTACCAATCTCTGACATATAACTGCAATATCCTAGAATCTACTATTTGGCTGAAGAAAAATGGTAGTTGGTAGATGTTTAGGCGTGAGAAATAACAAACCGGCCACTGTCTTGTAAAATACCATTGAACGTGCCAATGATTGATTTGTGAATCTTATAGTTGTTTGTATCTTAAGCTGATCATTAGCTTGACTTCTTGTCTGACCAGCCAACCCTCTAAATGTATTGTTCCAGGATGTTTTATGGACCAGGTGGACCTTATGCCCTGTTTGCTGGCAAGGATGCTAGCAGAGCTTTAGCAAAGATGTCTTTTGAAGAGAAAGAACTGACTGGGGATATCTCTGGTCTGGGCCCTTTTGAGCTCGATGCCTTGCAGGATTGGGAATACAAGTTTATGAGCAAGTATGTAAAGGTAGGCTCTATAAAAAAGCCAGTCCCAGTAACTGAGGCAGAATCCACTGGTGAACCTTCAGAATCAGTTCCTCGTGATGCTGCTCCCGCTGCCACTGCTGAGCACACTGAAGAGATAAAGGCCCCATCTGGAGCTGAAGCTGTTAAAAGCGAGGAACCACTTTCAAGTGTTGATGCAAACAAAGGGTAATAATGGTTGAATCCTCACGGTATATGTATACTGTCTCTACCAGAGCCGATGTGAATGATTAATCCTTTACGAATGTTTGAAGAAAATGTCAGAGATATTGTCCCTTTCACTATTCTAGGCTACCCCTTCTCCAAAGGAACTTCGCGTGAAGGCCATAGTTTGATCAATAAGTAACTGTTAGTATTTTGTGGATGGAATCCTCCTTTTCAAACCGTGAACGGGTTATATCACAGAGGCAGTAGCTGATCATTTGCTTATGGTTTTTACATCATCCATCCCTTTGATGCATTTCCCTATGTTTTTCTTATACTCCTATAATCACAAGCGCTATTTACTTATAACGTGGTACGCATATGAGCTTTGCAAACAAATACGTATATAATTGTTATATTTTAATTGAAGATTAGGAATTTTCCTCGTGCTATGTATGATGTTTTAAAGTTTCTGAATGCAAGGTGAAGTTTCATCATGGTATGTTTGGTTAGAGGAGAGAGAGGAGGGAAGGAATATGCTCTCCTTGCATTATTTGGTTAAAAAAAAAAATGGAGGGGATGTATTTCCCTTCTCTTGTTTGATTAAATTTAAAACAAAGTGAAGAATTTTTCCTTCCATTCTCTTCTAACCCTTCCCTCAAGGTTAAACTCCACATTGACTGCATGGAACCTCTTCAATTATTGCTCGCAGATAATGGGTTTAGTCGTTTAGTTACCCTCTGAATTCTGTGATTGCTGATGTGAGATCACTTATCTTCTCTAACTGGGGTCTTGAGACTATGCACTCACAGAAAAGCTCTCAGATGTGCGGTCAGTCTTATTAGAAGAGCTCATAATATGAACTGATTATTTTTCAGGCTCCTCCCGCTTTCCGTTTAGGGCAACTTTTGCTTGATTTTAGTGTAATTTACTTGCTGTTTACTGTGTGTTTGTCGCTTAGTTTTGTGACTGCCAACTCAACTTTTCCAGTGTATTCTTGCCTTTCTTATTAAAAATAAAATAAAATCCCCCCCCCCCCCCCAAAAAAAAATCTTTTTCTATAAGCTACCTCCTTTCCCTTTACCTTCCTTCGTTAAAATGTCATCCTTCCCTTCTCCACTGAGCCAAACAATATGGTAAGGTTCAAAATCTATGGTGGTTATGGAGTAAAGAAAATCAAGCCTCACCCTGACTTCCGTGGACGGGCATGAATCTTCTAAAGTGAGGATTTGTGAAACTTTTGGTCAGGATGTAATCATAATTTTAAAAAAAAATTTTTAAAAAAAAAAAGAAGGAAAAGAACAAAAACGAGATTAGGCATATAAGCATATTTAAGATGTTTTATGGATCTTCCCTTCAGACCAGCATGTGGCATGCACTGCCATTAAGCCTTCTGCCATTGCCATATGGCTTAAAGGACTTTAATCATTTAATTGAAATTAGCTTAAGTGAAAATAAAAATCATGCCCAACAGCAAGATCTCAAATTTAAGTTTTGCGAATGAGAAAAAGTATAAGAGACAGTTAAAATTAGTTAAGAACAATTAATGTGTAAAAAGTATAATTTTTTTTCCAAAAATGCCCTCATTAATAAGGAGAGAGAGCATGAGAGAGAACAATTAAATTATTAAAAGAAAGAGAAGTAGGAGGGAGAGAGAGTGTGAGTTGGAGATAATAAATATGGGTAAAATAGTAAATCAACACAAAAAAGTAGAGACAACTTGTAAGTGTCTCTTATATATAGGAACATGCTATAAGTATCAAATGTCTCTTATAATAAGGAACGGAGGGAGTACATCAGGAGAGTCACTCCATTTAGAATCCTAACAATGCTTAAATACTATCTTTGGTCCTAAATATAAGAGTTAATTGACTAATTTGAGTATATTAAGGAAAGAAGTTAAGTTAGTTATTTGTGATAAATAAGTGGTCTTTTCTAAAACATTCTTACTAATCAAGTTTATTGGCTAAAAATACTTTTATTAGAAATATTATCTTAAGTAAATAAATAAATATAAAAAATAAAATAAATTAGAATCTTATATATTTAGAACTAAAATAAAAATCAAATAAATTCTTATATTTAAAAAGTAGTGTAGCAATTTAACAAAAGAAACGCATTAACAGTTATTGCGATTGCGATTGAGATGATGTTTCAGCCATCCCAACGTGACTTTTTGGCCCAAAAGCACAGCAGCCTCATTTATATTCTTGTTTGAAATTGCATTTTCGCATTTTGAGCCTCAAATTGAAATGCAATTTTTTTTTTCTAGATATAAATAGTCTTTTATTAAAGATAACTTTATTTAAGATACCGCGTAAACCTTAATTCATCTTTACTAGACTTAGGCCCCGGTTGGATTGTTATTGGAGAAGGTAAAGGCGCATGAGAAAGTATGAAACTAAGATTTGTGACTTATTTAGATAAAATTGGTTGTTTAGATGTGTTTCTTTTGTAACTGACTTATAAAAAATAGTAACTTTTCTGTCTTATAAAACGTAATCTGGATCAACTTTTTTAACCGACTTATAGGAAAATTGTGCAAAGCTTACAATCTAATTAGTTATGTGATTTTATTTACTTTAATTAGAGACCCAATGAATTTAAATTTAAATTTATGTTTGTCCATTATGTATATTTAATTAATTATCTACCATGTGTTTTCAAATTTTTATTCGTAACAAATATTTTTATTTTATAATTTCACAAATAAACTATTTATATTTTATCATAATAATTTTATGTATTTTTTTAAACTATTATCATATTAAAAACATAAAATTTCAAACACCACTATTCAATAAAGTCCATACTCTTTTCAGTCATTTTTCAATTAAACTAATTTTTTTTATTAATCATCCAAACAACTTTTAATTTTTTCAATTGACTTTTTAAAAGTACCTATTCAAATATAAATCGTATTACACTAATTGATTTTTACTCTAACTTCAGTTATAAAAATCAGTTAAGTTAGAATTAGTTTTATCCAACTCCAATTCAAACATATCTTGTGGGTTAAAATGCAACTTTTTGTTCCGATGCGATGTGTTGCGGTCAATGGGACCCAAAAAAGTTTTTTCCAATGGTCTCTCTGCTTTTCATCTGTCCCATGAGTGAGAGGTGACTAATAATATATTTTAGTGTGTTTATATTGTTTCTTGTTATTTAATTTATATTTTATTATTATTATTTTATTTAATCAAATTTTTTATTTAAGAAAATTCACATTCTTTTTAATCATTTTATATATAAAACTATTTTTAATTAATCATCCAAAAAAAATTTTAACTTGTGAAACTGGGTTTTTCACAAAGATCAATACAAAAACCTGATTTTTATTCTAACTCATATTTCTAAAAGTTAAATGAAAGAAGTGTTTTGATATATCTATAAGTGTTTTTTAAAAATATTTTTTCACAAATCTAAATAAACCTCTCTATAAATTTACTTTATATACTGCAAAATCACTTTTAAAATTATGATTTGATTTCTATCCCAACACTCCGAAATTATAGCGGATTCAAAATTGTCAACCAAAACCACTTATATTTTAATATCTATCTAGCAATTTCCTCACAATGCCTGTTATTATTAAAAAAAAAAGTTACAAAATAATAATAATATACGCTAATCCCAACCTAGCAATTTTGGGTTTGAGAAATCTCTTTAAATTATGAATTAACCAAAAACATATTTTGTAATGAGTCCCCAAAAGGTCTACGGAGGAAGGTGGGGTTTGCCATCTCCCCATAACCGAGGGCTAGAGTCAAAGGGCCATCCACTCAGAAGAACAGTATCAAAATGCAAAGAAGCGATCCATGGTTTTATTTAGTTCTATTTTCTCTTCGCTTTTCTCACCATCTATTAGCATAAGAAGGAAGAAAAAAGATATGGATGGGGGGCATTTTTCTATCCAAAAGTTTATACGGGTTGTAAGAACACAACTTTTAAGAAGTCACAAGTCAAAGGCAGACCATTCAGGCATGGCCCACTCAATGAAGTGCCCTGTAATACCATCTCTGCAATGAAGAAGTGAAAGAATTCGCATCTTCTAATCTGTGGTCAGGACTGGGCAGGGCAGCTCTATCGGGAGGCGGCGTCACAAAATATGACCGATGTTGGGAGCCAGGACTCTGTGGAATTGAACCACCAGATAACGAAACACTTTGATCTGAAAAGTTGCATGAAAAATGCATTTTGCCAGAATTACTAAAATCAGAAGGGCTTGAATAGCAGCTTAGAGGGGAAAGGCTTCGATCCTTCTTAAGATCACAATGCTGTGAGTTTAGAGTGGATGAAAAAAGATTCATGCCACTGCTGTTGTGAAGCGAAGTTGGATGTTCTGGCAGCATAAAATGTAATGGACCAGATCGATCTGTTTGGCTTCTAACACTTTGGGATGTTCCTGCAGAACCAGAGCGCTGAGGAAAAAGGTTCAAGCTTGAAACTTCAGCATTTGACAAAAGCCTAGCTATCCTCACCTTCAAAACCCTCCCATCCATTTTAAAACCGTTCATATGAGTCACAGCCACTTGTGCATCCGCGGCACTGTCAAACTCAACAAATCCAAAACCTCTACAAATTCCAGTTGTTCGATCCTTGATTGCTTTTACTTCAAGGATCTTACCAAATGGAGAAAACAGCTCAGACAATCTATTATCATCAAACGCTTGAGGCAGATTGCCAACATAAACATTGTTCATCAATGATTTCTTTCCATACCTCCGTTGTCTGCTCTGTGTTGAACCGAAACTAAAACCAAACCCAGAACCCTGCACAGAGTCATTCTGTGGTGATAGCACATCCAAGGGACTGGCACTAAAACATGTATAGCATGAGTTCACTTTAAAAGTTGATTGAAGGTCAGGGCAGGCATATGACAGATGTCCCTCATCACCGCAAACATAGCACATATTTTCATCCCTAGCTGTTCCTTTCAGCGTGGCCAGCTCCTTTAATTGAGCCTCCTTGTGCTCATTTCTTCCTTCAACTGGGATTAGCAATTTTTCAACCATGGAAACTGCTCCATCCAGAGAACTTTTGTTGTCTGCTTCTATATACACATGCAAGTCCTCTTTAGAAGAGGTGGATATGTTAGTTGTTTTCGAGCATCCTTTTCCTCTTATGTGAATCTTGGCCCCGGTTTCATTTTCCATTCTCTTCAGTGTGTTTCCACGAGGACCAATTATAAGGCCAACAAAATTGTACTCCGGATATTCTGTCACAGGTATGTAAAGTTTTTTGAAGAGTTTCGGAGGCTTGTAATCTGGAGGAGGGCCAAAACATGGATTTGATTTGATCAATTTTGATACGATACTTTGACGCTTCTGCACAAGTTTCTGACGAAGTCTTACTTCTCTTGTATTTATTCTGATGCCATGGTCATCATATATTGGCTCTGGTGATGGAGATCTTTCCTCCCCAAGCCTATCATCATGAAGAGGTCCATGCAATCTTCTATTAGTCTCAAAAAGCTCAGCTTTCAGCCCTTGAATTTCAGGATTATTCTCACATCCAAGAAGAAAATCTTTTGTGAAGTCAGGCAACTGAAGTGGCCCCAGCAATTTTAGTTGAGTGTCCTCACTGGACCACCTGGTTTTCCTCCTCTTGCAAGTCTGATTGTCTTTCACGCCATCATCCTCAGACTGTGGTTCCCATCTGCTGCGCCTTCGTTTTCCAGAACTTCCCGTACCTTCTTTGGAAGAACAATTATCAATAGATGCCAGTGAAGTGACAGTGTCATTATTGAGCTCCAACGCTGAATGTCCAGATTCTAATTTCAGGCCAGAAGATCCCACTTGCTTGCACTTCTTTCGTGACTGATAGCATAGCAATGTAGTTAATTCACCAGATGCAACATTCAGACACCTCTTCTTATCATTTGATTCAACAAATCCTGATTTGTGATCATTTCCATTAAGAGATATTTCTTCTAGCTGCTTTTGCTCAACTTCTTCAACACGATCTTCTTCTAGCTCCTCACATGATCCAACTTCTTCATCCTCTGCTTCATTTTTAAGCACTCTGAGGTAGTATTCAATTTGATGCCTAGCTTCACCAACCATACCTGAAAGATTCTGAAGAATGCACTCTTCCTCCAGTAATTCCTTCGCTGATCCTTCAGTTTGCCCAAGATGACACCTAAATTTCTTTATAATACTGGGAACACATGATGATCGAAGCTTCTGCCTATGTTGCGGATAAAAGTAAACCTCAAAATGGTCACCTGCAACGTGAAAGTTCCCTAAGCATGCAAGGAAAAGAACAAGAACATTGTTTCTACAACTAACTAATAAACTCCCCATGCAACCTGGGGAGAATATTATAACATGGTTGGGGAGCACCCAATCTTCTATTGAAGCATATAAAAAGGTGTAAATAATTTGACCATAACTGAATCCAGCAGAAAGCTTAAACATATGAGAATATTTAAACAAACTAGGAATTGCAATAGGAGAAGGTGAGAAGCAGGGAGATGAAACAAGAAGCAATGGCATTGACCTTTGAAACATAACACAGGCAAGCAACAGCCAAGAAACCCAAAAATAGGTGGAAGACAATAGGCCCAAAAAAAGGAAATGCAAATTGACACACTAGTTAAATTAGGAAGATAAAAAGCAACCAATAGATTCAGACCAGATAAAACTTAGAATTTCCCATTTGTACGAACCATACTAATAAAGGAGGAAGATCAAAGTGTCCTTCCACCATATTGGATTGAAACACATTTAACACGAGTCACGAGGACATGAAAGAGCACCCCGGGTGGACTCTTACCAAATAACTTAATTCAAACAAATTCCAACACATTCCATTAAAAATCTCAGACACTCAACTGAATTTTCTCTTTAAACCATAGACAGAGGAAATTCTTATGTCAATAATAAATAAAAACTGTCCGGGTTATGATCATCCAAGGCATACGTCTTCCCAACACTAAAAAGCTGCAAGAGCAAAGAAACTTCTCCGCTCTCCAGAAACATCTGTTTTCTAGGGTAAAATTATGGGTTAAACAAGAATAACGAAACCAACACAGTCACGTCAGAAATCAATCGATGGGACTTCTGCCCATATTCATTTTAACGTTTCAAATCCTAAGAAAAGCCGATCGTATCAAACGTTAAATAAGTGCTCAAGACATTGAATCTTTGCGTAAATTTCATTCCACCTCTAGGTCAAACGCTTATGTGATAAGGTGATATCAAAGAATAAAAATGGAGTCCATATGATTCTTGACTAAGGATGGAGCACCGTACCTGCCTTCCTCTAATCCTCTTTGGAATTTTACAAGACCGTAATCCAGCTTGATGAATAATCTTGATGGAAAATCCATCGACTTTATACTTCTGGGAGGGGAGTGAAGCGTCACAACGATAGGAGTGAAAGAAAAATACCTGAGAATGAGAACCCTCCATGCGACGGTTCGCTTTCTGAGACTGGGTGTGCTTTTAATGGTAAATATCATTAATATCACTATTTTATTAATTAGGATTTTGTCTGCTAACTAATTTTTTGAAAAATTGGACAAAAGGACTTTAGGTGTCTGATGGCAATTGAGTCTTTTTCCCGCCAACAGGTCAAGTAGTTTTTTATTAAAGTGGGACTTTACTTCAAAATTGGTGAAAACTTTTGTTATAAAAAAAATGTGAAAACTTTTTCATCAGGAAAATAAACAAACGGAAGAGCTCGTTTGTTTGTTTGTTTTTTTTAAAACAAAATAAAATAACATTTAATACCTTAATCTTATTTTTTAGATACATTTAATATCTTAATTTTATTTATAATAAATCTAGCATTCTGACATTACTTTTCTTTCTATCCAACACCCTGATATTTTTTTAGTTATATCTAGCATTCTTTTTTTTTTTTTTTGCCAACACCCAAACCTTATATATGACTTAGGATGTTGCTTTAGTAAAAAAATATTACTTACTTTTAAAAAATTATTTTAAATATAATTGAGAAAATCTTAGAAAAATACTCCTAAAATTTCAGGCAAATCAATGACTCCAATTTTAATAAGATGTGCTAAAATGAAATTTGAAAATAATGCATTTTTATCACACTACCTTACTTTATATATACACATACAGTGGCACTGGAAAACGGACTGGTCCAAAACTATAAGGATCTTATTGACCACCCAATCCAGAGGAAACAACATAAACAATTTAGGTCCTGTTTGGGATAGTGGTAAAAATCCCTCATAAGCATGTTTTATGTAGGTCGAGACAAAATTTTTTTTATATACTTGTCTCGTATTCTATAAATTACAATTGAAAAGTACTCATAAATTATTCCAAGTAGGTCCTTAACAATCAGGAGTAATATAAAAAACCAAAACTAATAAAAGATCTAAAAACCGGGCCACAAATCCAACCCAAACTAAAATTTAGAGACCAAACACAGAACAAAACGCCGACCCTTTCCCCCAGCTACGGCCCCAGCGCTACCAAGAAATAAGATAATCATAAGCATCCATTGTATTAGAAATAGAGACCACAAGCATATCATTGTATTAGAAGTGGTGTGGAGCGAAAGCCAAGCTATTGGTAAACGCTGTTATTGACCACTGGGATCAGGATGTAAATACTTCATGTTACTGTTCTTTCCAACTGAATAGGGACAGTTCTATCTACATACAAATTATGGGGGCCAAAATTAATTTCATCATTTTTACAAACAAATATAAACATGTTTTAAAGTAAATTTTGCTAGACATAGACATCGAATGAGGGAGTTTTGTGACAATTTGAATTGTTTATTAAATTGTGCACAGTGATTATTGTAAAAAAAAGAATGAGGAAGTGACACTGACAAAATTCACATATGATATAAAAATTTTAACAAACCGTATTATTGATGTGAGAAACCTCAGTTCTCAATAAATTTCACATGTGTTTGTGCGGGAGACCCACACTTACTAACAATATAACTTATATACGTCTACCTATGCATGGGGCCTATATGCCATACACGAGGCTGGATTTAGTTTGATTAATGAAACAACTTATAATAATATAGTGCTTGCATGATGAATAGACTCCTTGTATTTGGTATTAATTAATTTATTATAGAGCTTAATCTCACCATATTTTTTTCTGTCATGGCTTCTTTGGGACCACACATTTCAACCCAACCACAATATTTGAAAAGGCTGACCTTTCAAAGAGATAGATGCAAAAAGATCAATGTTAGTTATAAGAAAATAATACTACTTGTAATGCTTAATATAAAAGCTAGATAACTATTTTGAAGACATAAAGAAGATTAGTTAAGTTACATATTTGTAATAAATAAATGTTACCTTCTTTAAAATATTCTTATTAATCATAAGCATTAGAACACTGCCAGAAAAAAAAAAGCTTTTAACATTGGTTATTAAGGGTTTTTCACGACGGTTTTAGAGGCACAGTGGATATAGTCAACGTTGAAAGGTAAATAAAACACAGCGATTGAAAACCGCCGGCGGTTCTGTTAAAAACTGCTATGAAAAATCAAATTTCCACTGTGATTATTAATAAAACCGCCATGGAAAGTTCAACTTTTATGTAACCTTCGTGGAAATTCAATTTTCCACGACAGTTTTTAACAGAACCGCCGTGGTAAATTGTTTTAACGGCGATTATTTAAATAACCGCCATTAAAAAGTTACTTTTTTTAAATAATATTGCGTGAATTTTTTTTACCTCCCTATAGTTTACAATTCCAAATAAATCCAGGCAGTGCAGAATACACAAAACTATTTCAAGATAACCATATGAACAAATAATCAACTAGCTAGTTAATATATATACATACAAACGTAGCAAGTATTGAAATTTCTTTTTAACATAGGCACAAGGCTTATAAGGGAATCTGTCTAGGCAGGACATGCATAAACCAATCCTATAATTACAAGATGATACCTTAGAAGTAGCTTGCTACTTCTCCTAACAACAAGTAAAGGCATAATTCCAAGAATAGTAACAAACTAAATGAATTCTATCTGCACAATAGAACTAAGGAACATGTATAAAGGGAAAATTAAGCGAAAAAAATCTAAAAATGAATTTTTTGAGGAATGACTTAACTATTTCAAAATTTTGAAATTCTATAGCAATATTGTTGACAAAGTGTCCCTCATCAAGTTGATTTCATCTATGTGATATGGCGCAGCATTTTGAAATACTTGTAAATAAAAAATGACATATTCAACTTAATCAAAAATGCGAAAAGAATTGAAGAATTACATGCAATGTAACTTATCTTTACCTCGTCTAATTTCTTAGTCACTCCTATCTCAATGATGTCATTCGTGTAGTGGATGACATAATATCTACATTCAACACTCCCTTGTTGACAGCAGTACTAATAAATAAAATATAAAATTGAATATTAGATGTTGATTATGAAGATTGAATTTAATTATTGAAAAAGATTTAAAAGTATATATTTAGCTCAAAACAACATACTTTTAGGAGAATCCACGTTGGTGGTTGTCTATTTTGCTTCTTCGCCACAACATTGAAACCATGAAAAACCCTATCAATAATTAAAAAAAAAGATATTAGAGCATGTTTTTCTAAACTTTACACGTAATAAATATATAAACCTAAACTAACGTGTCGATAACATCTCTGGTTTCTTCAGATGGACTTCCACAGAGGGAATCAAACCAGTAGATTTTGTTATCAAAAGGGACACAAACAATTAGGGTCCAATGATAACTACAAAATACAAAACATGTTAATTATAATCATATACATACAACTTGTGTATTTCAAATACAATAATATACTTACCCTTCCACGTAAGGTGCAAAATATATTTGCTTTCTTGTCTGAGTCATTATGGTCATCATGTAGATTGACCTCACTTTCACAGTATTGACTATTTTCTGCACTTTTGAGAACACATAAAGGCATATGTTCCTTTAAGTCCTCCTTACTGACAGATTTGAGTAAAGTACCTGTTGTTCAAATAAGAAACATTAGGACATGCATAAGTATAACATGAATTAAGAAAATGATATTGTAACTTACAAAATAGCTAGCTACATGAAGACTATATCCAACTCCTCAAAATTGAGGAACTGAACGAGGTCCTTCTTGTCAATGGTGAAGTCATATGTTACTCTGAACCCACAATCCCCAGCAACATCTTAAAAGTAACGAGTTTATCCATGTTTGCCATTACGGAATGAAGAACCTCCAAACTGGAATTTGTAAGCGCAAGATTACCAGGAAGAGGCAGGAATACAAGATCTGATAATGCGCTCTTTGTGGCCTTCTTTGCTGTCACCTTCTTTGTCAATGGCTTTGCAACAAGTCTCTTTGGCCATAAAATGAAATGTCCTTTAGCCTAAGCCAATAGTCAAACCTCATCAGTAGGGTTGGGCACTAGTGTACCACCATGACCACGAAATAATCTATCCATCGTCACCCTCACTTGATCTTTCAAAACTTTCATGT